AAGATAATTAGTGAGAGTGACAAAAGCAAAAAGAGACTCAAAGCGAGCATTAGAACTTATAAAATAACAAAGTTAACAAACTATCTACTATAATTAAGTACTAAGTGACTTATTAATCTCTATATCAAGAAGAATCTGGACAAGCCACCATCTCTCATAACAAATGAAATTAGTAACATCGTAATGAACAAAATTGGTAATGCTGTAATAAACAAATTTGGTATGACTATGACAAATGTAATTCACAAACATATAATAATAATAAAAAAAAAAGAAGAGAAGGGACTTTGGTTAATAATATGAAAAGGATAACTTAACATAAATAAAGCAAAATATACCTACCAAGAACTGTATCCAACATATATACTAATATATTTTACAAGCCACAAAAGAGTATATAAGATGAAGTCATAAAATAAATATTTAATACTATCTTAAATAGAGATAGTAGAATAAAAGTAGTAGTATAAGAAAAAGAACATTAATAAAATTAAAGATAACAAGATCACTACAATGAGAAGAAAAGATTAGACTGTATCTATATACTGTAGTGTTAAAGTTGACAATATAGAACTTTTTCTTTTATTTCGAAGGCTACAGAAAAGCCAAAAAGTACAACAATGACAACCTATGCCTAATAGTGCATATATACATGTCTGAAAGTATGAGAATATGAGTTAGGGTAGGATACAAACCAAAAAGATCTGGTAAGACTTGAAAAGACTATCTAAATAAGGTAAAGGCTGAAAATAAGATAGAAGTAAAGATCAATCAATTGAAACATCTCAAGCATGATAAAAGGAATCAATAAGGGAATATACTAACCAGTACAAAGCTTATACTCAAGTTGTGAAGGATCAACTTAAAAGTGATGAGATATGAGACTGGTATATTCATGATTTAAAAAAGCTATATAAATCAAAGCTTAAAAATCGCTGCTCTAAAAACTATGATAAAGCAAAAAAGAAGGTGTTGGAGATAGAAGAATGCAATAGAGACAGGGCTCTCAATGAATATAAGAATCAAATATATCTGAAGAAACTTCATATCCAAGTAAGTAGGATATAGATCTTGATAGTATTATGAATAGACTTGTAGCATTGAGTATTAATTAAGTGAAATGAAAAGAAAAATTGAGTTGATCCAATATTGAAAATTTTTTTTTTTTTTTTTTTTTGAATATTAATGGTGAGACCATGTCTCTAACTTTATTAAAATTTAATTTGATTCTTC